CAGGGGCACAACCACGATACCACAGGGTGCAATGTTTAACCCCTCCAATCAACAAATAGTCACTATTTAATACTGCAGCTCCAAACCAGCAGCTAAATGAAGTCAGGAAATTCTGGGAAATGCCTTTTTCTTTGGTAACAAATCATATTTAATTCTGTATTTAGTCTTGATGAGACATTATGGGATTTACTCATTCAACTAAAGCCAGTTTTAACATTCAACAATGATTTTAGCATTCAAAATTCAAAATGATTCAAAAAATGAATCCTGGAATAACACAGAAGAACAGCTGGACTCACAGAGTTCCATTTAAATCCAAAATATTCTATGATTAAATCAATACAACAAAATTTGCTTAACTGCAAGAGAAATCCTTTGCTAAAGAGGAGAAGTACTGGGTACATACTGAACATTCTTGCAGAACTTTTTTACATTCTTTCAGAGGTTTGAGTGTAAAGCGCGAACTCATAGAAATGCCACTTGGACCCTGAAAGCTTTTTCATTAGCACAAAGCAAGATACTGTGTAGGAAACTTGCATCTTTGAATATGAAAATTACCAGCCCTTGAATGTTTTTGGAAGGAACACATGAAAGAACAATAGCACAAAGCCCTAAGCACAAACACTTTGCCACACATTTGACCTATATGACTTTTGAAGCAGTTGTAAGCTATAATCACCATTACACTTGTTTATATTTTTAAAAGTACTTTAGATCCTATTATCAAGTAAAAAGGTTTTCTAACTTCACACCTGGGATAGATGCAATGCTTCTTTTCCACACATCTCTGTTTGAAATTTTCTCTAGGGCTAAAACTGTCTAGGCAAGGCAAGAGCATGAAAATTCATCACTTTACTGACGGCTCTAATAAGGTTTTTTTTCTTCTAAATAGTCAGCACCTTGCGCCATGATCAAAAAGTAAAATCAACTCTGCTACACATTTCTGTTACATTATTTTTCATATAATTTATTCTTAAAACAACATTTTGGCTTTAATTTTAATTTGAGTTCCTCTCCTTCCTTAACAGGATTTTCCAGACCAAAAGCAGACAGCATTTTCCCTTTGACAAATAACTGCTGTAGTTCTATCTTCAGCCTCTAAGTACTGAAGTCATGAGATGGAAACCTGCCTAATTCTGTTAAAATAATACTGTGGGGCTTCAGGACAAATGTTAGCCCAATGTGAAGAAATTTTATCAGCATTCTAACAAACCACAGCAAATTCTTCCACATATTTTCCATGGGTCTACAAAACAGATTGATTATTCACACTGCCTGCACCAGAAAAGGCTGGGCACAATTTGCAGGATTTTGATTTTTTTTTTTCTTTAACGTATTTAGCAGCATTTCAATCAACATCCATCTGATCAGCACCACTAAGAGCTAACAGCACCTCCAGTGATAATGATTTCATTGATGCTGCAGCAGAACTTTCATAACGGTTTACTCTGGTTTTAAAGAAACATCAAAGCTCCATGACACCAGCTCTCCCTGACAGCTCACACAGAACAAAAATTACAGTTCAGTTGTGCATATCCAAATATAATCTGCCTAAGGGTGAACAGTTTGTAAATCAAATAATTTGATTGAAGATACATGCTTTTATTGTGCAGAATACAGACTTCCCATTCAATTTACCAGGTTTTGTTACACAGAGGAGCAGACACACTCACTGTTCCTTCAGCTGAGATGCCACTGAGCTGTGGAACTCATTAACAGCAGTAAGTAACAAACTAATCAAAAAGCAGAGAATCTGCCAGCCCAGGTAGAATAGGAACCTAAATTTACACCTGACAAAAGGAGTAATTAGCGAGCTTAAAGACAACAGGAAATATCAGATGGGGCACAGAAGGCATTAATAATTGATACACCAGTACTCTTTGTTATTCCCTTAGAGGGTTTCATTGTTATAACTGTTAAAGTGCATTTCTCATTAGATTACCCACTAAAAAAAGAAATTAAAAGCATCTTGCCTATAACTATTCCAAAATGCTCACCATTTTTTTTTTGTTTCCTCCCCCCTTCCAAGACTCAGCCTGAAAAGTTTGATCCATCACCTGCCAATGGCAGCACAGCTCCCAACAGCTGTTTACAAATCAGGAACTGAACTATTTCTGGTGTCTCCATTTTCACTTACCATCATCGTTGTTTTGCTTTAAGTGGTTTATCATGAACTCAATGGGATCATCTGGCTTATGAATTAATAGCTCTTCAAGCATGTTCTGGAAATAAATAGGACAAAATCAGAGGAAAATTTAACACAGCTCTGCAGTCGTGATAGCTTGCATTTTTACAGTAATGTTACAATGAGGATCCTCAACAGCTTATAAATGCTTATTTATTTTCTTTCACAGACAAAATTGAGACTTCAGAACCTATTTTCAATGCTGAAAAATTGAAGATTGTCAGAAAATTGCCAGTAAAAAAAAAAGCCACAATTGATTAGCTTCAGCTTATTTTTATTTATATGGACACCGGAAAGGTTTGGCTCAAGCAGCCTGGGGACAAAAATGGTTGAGGCAGCAGTGACATAAAAAACCATACAAGGAATTTGAAAAACAGGGTTAACTTGAATTTATGTCTCTGCAGGGCAAAATGACCCTTCTCTAGCACATTCCCACAAGCTTCTGACAAGCCCAGAGGAGGGCAGAATGGACAAGAGCTGTGGAAAACATGACCCACAGAAATGGCACATTTCACCCCTGCACCACCCTCGCCTCCTGCATGAAAAGGAGTGGGAAGAAGTGGGGAGAAAAAAAAGAAAAAAAAAAAAGGCATAAAGCTTTGTCTTGAATGTCTATTTTTGAGCCCATTTTCATGTTAAACCCTTGAGGTAATACAGGGCCTTGTTCCAGCTCCCACCAATAGCAGTGGGGATCTTGCACTGGTTTCAGGGAAGATTTGGGTTTTACAGTCAGAAAAAAAGAACAACCCTGAGAAATCCATACATTTCCTAGCAAGACATTTCAGCACAGCCATGAGTTCTGTAATTAAAACTAGACATCAAACAGAACTAATGCTCTAATTTAGACAAGCAGCAGAAATACTCAGGCTGGAAGAGACATTTCTAAAAAGCAGTCATAACACTTTTATATGTGCAAGTAAATTCCATGAAGTCCGTCTAGTCCATAAAATTTTATATCCTCATACACTGATTGTCTTTTATTAGAGTGGCCTCTTTTCCTTTTCTACTTCATTCACTTCATTAGAATAATTAAAACACTCAATTTTGTTTATAAACTGGTGATCGTGCAAGTCCTGATCCATAAAGGTCTGGGTAGCACAGAGCATGAAGGATAAAATTTGTATTTTTATTTTAAGTTCATTTAAAAATTATTACTTTCCAGCAACATTTATTAAAACTAAGCAATCTGGATGTTGCACTTTACTTACCAGAACCTTAATAAATAACAAACATAAGAAAATCTGGGTTTATGATAATTCACAAACGTTCAGGCTGACAGTGACTGACACTGGCACTGTTTCTTGCCCAGTTTTATCCAATTCTGCTAAACTCAGTTTAATTTCACATCATTTGTTCTGTTAATCTCAGGGGAGGTTCATATTTTGTGTCTCACATAGTTTTTACATTTTGTATTTTGTAAATGTTTTAGCACAACGATTTCAAGCTGTGTTTGTGTCATTATTTTTCTCCAACACAACTGAAGCATGAAAGCACAACCCTGAGTAAATCCCAAAAACATTTTATGTAATATGAGTCCCTGCAGCTGCATTCAACAACTTGTGACTTGCAAAACCCAGTATTTTATTAAAAAAAAAATCAAAAATATTATACCACACCAATCATAATAAACAGAAAAAAAAATATTGCACAAAAGAAAAAAAAATAGGAAAAGAAACAAACATGCGTGTGCATTTCAGTGAGCTCTGAGCAAGTGAAAATGACTTTTTAACAGAGTTAAGAGCAGCACATGGGTGAAAGCTCTCCAGCAAGTCCTCTTAACAGAACAGCACCAGGATATTTAGTCCTTCACACAAATCTCCCCATGGACGACACAATGGCTTTTCCCAAACTTACAGAAAAAAACCCACCCTTCTCTAAAGCAGTGATACCAAGTACCGAAATCACAAACACGCCACAAGTGCACTCTTAACCCTTTATTTTTAACGCGTCCCATATCAGCCACAGCAGGAACGCAGAGAGAAGGGTTTTAACCGAGGGACGATCAGGATCGGGTGACAGCCCCAGCTCAAGCACGGCAAAACCTTCACCGCGATCTTCTCGCCACGGTCCTACCTCGTTCTATTTCCTCCTCCCCCTTTGCCCCTCCTCGTTCTGCCTCGCATTTCACCCACACCTTCTGTCGACGGGCTACAACTTTATTCCGGAAATCGGATGAAACGTCTGAGGACCAACAACTGTCAATTAAAATAATTCATAGAGAGAGCCCACGGCCGCTTCCCGCAGTCGGACACGCGCCCGTGAGGCTCCACAGGAGCCCGCAGCGATGCCCCGCCCCGCCTCCCCCGTCCCCGGCCGGCCACCCCGAGCAGCGGAGCGGCTGGCGGGCGGTCCCCGTTCACCTGCAGGAGCTGGAAGAGCCCCCGCTCCTCCGCGTAGGCGCCCGCGGGCGGCGGCCAGGGCCGAGCTGGGTCCTGCATGGGCGCCTCCGCCATGGCTGCCCCTAGCAACGTGAGGCGTTGCTAAGGAGGCGTCATCGCTGCGCGCCGGGGAGCGGCCTCGCGCCGCACGGGGGCGTGGCCAGCGCCGGCTGAACCG